GAGTCGACGAACTTTTCCTTTTCCACGATATCGCCCAGCATACGGACATGGATGAAGTCAAACTGCCTGCCGATGTTCCAGTCGGTAGTTATGTCCATGACCTTGAACTGACAGTTGGACACGTTATATGGAGGGCGCACTTTCTCAATATCGACGCCCATCACGGCACAGTTTGGATTCTTCTTGGCTGTTGCGGCGGTCAACTGGCGTTAGCGTGAACTTCCCGGTATTATAACACCCCGTGAGAATTAACAGGAGCGACTTGCCATATTCCTACATGAGGCTAGTTAGCGAGTCATTCCGTGATATCAGACTAGTTACATCATTCATGCGGGAAAAGGTGAGGGGAGGGGGGCGTTGCGAAGTGACTGATGATGAAAAGGTAACGCACTAATGCCCATAGCCCTGGCCCCGTGCCTACGTCGAGGGCGGCCCTGGCCTTGACAACTGGGGCCAAGTGGAGTCTGTGGTCGAAGAGCTCGGCAATGATCTGGTGTTGAAGGACTGCGGATTCCTGGTCAGCGACAATCCAGGTCTTGGTCTAGACGTTCCAGATCCTGCAGGAAGTGCAAGATACATGCGGAGGTGAAGAGCTTGGTGGCCGAGAACTCGAAGACCGGTGGACCACGGTGAAGGATGCTTGCTGACCATTTCTGTCTTGTTCTTCCTGGAGGATTGGTAAGGCGGGTTAGCATGGGGGCACCTGCATCAAAGTATGATAATTTGAGTAAAGCGTACCTTGGTATTTGGCACGAAGCCGAAGCGTTTTCCGGTTTTGGCAAACTTGTTGAAGATGGACTGGAAGATGGACGATTTTCCCGTCTTGATCTTTGATTTGCTGGAACCGCTACTGCACGAATGGTTAGGATGGTCAGAATGTCGCAGGAAAAGAAAGGTGGCCGATGAGATGGCGAGATAAAGTGAGAATGAGGACAACCATGAAACACAATGAACCAAAAAAACAAAAACAAAAGAAAAAACAATGATAGACATCATCATCGGATGAGAATGAGAGACTTACTGTGTTACTGCCCGGAGACTCTGACCCGGCGTCGGGTCGCTGTCCGATCCGTCGTCTGAATCGGACCCTCCCGCCCAGACGGCCTCGTTCACTTCATCGGAGGTCGGACTCGGATGATCCTCGGGGTACTCCTATTTGCGGCATGAGATTCAAGAGCTTTGGTCAAGCCTGTACCGCCTGTATCCGTAGGCGCCCGGCGACAACATGACAGTCGTCTTCCACGGTCCACGGAGGGGTCAATGTCTCATAGACTTGGTACATACGTCTTGTTCGCCTGACTGCATCGATGGCCTCGTCGATGGCGGCGTGCGCGGCCTGCTGTCTGTGGAAAAGTTGCGGGTACGTTCGGATGACGAACTAGCGGTGAGCAGCGTCGATGTGGAGGCGGCCGAGATGCTGTTGGCGGCCGTTGGAGGACGGGTCGGCTGGTGCCGTCCCACGGGCGAGCCAGAACCGACTGAGCTCAAGCTGCTACCACCGCTTTTGCGAAGCCGCTGTTGGTTGTAGAACCTGTCCATCAACATGCGGTCCGCTCCGAGCGAGACCGTGGTGGGCAAGGGGGAAGGGTAGAAGGGAGCGGTGCGCGCTTCGGGACTGGAGGAGGGGGAATTCGGGAAACTGGGGGGGTCCAAGTTAAATGCCGGGCCAAAGACGCAATGCACAAACCAAGAGAGTTGCAGGTCAGCAAGGCTCGACGATAGGCGGGCTTTTCCTCTGGTCTCCGTCTAACGCAAGGGGGAAGAAAGAAAGTTACCAGTAGCAATGAGTGTAGGAAGAAAGTGATAGACAAGCGACCAGCAAGAAAGAGGGTGCGGCGGGATAGGATAGACAAGGTCGTCCCATGAACCAGAAGCGGTTCGTCTTGTTTTTTCATTTCTTGGGGAAACCGAATAAAAACGGGCTAGGGCAACAGTTTATTTTTTGGGCAAAGGTGCAAAGGTCCCAACCCAAGGTGGCCATGCCTTGCCATCATCTCCCGGACACTGCCGTGTTTGAACGGCCCCTGTCTTGTGTCGCTTCTCCCTTTCCATCCCTTGCCGCTAAAACAGAAAAACCTTGTACGGATGGCGAGCTGGTTTGGTAAGCCCTCGTACTGCGCGTAGCCGCGTCGCTGCTAAATGCTAATATCTGCGGGGCTTTTGTCGGCGCTTTATCAGAATCAGTGGTAATGTGCCCGGATGGGCAGACAACTCTGGCTCTCTGGAGTCTTCCCCGGGCCTGTCATAGTCCAGGGAAACGTTGCGGGATCCCTCGCGATTTCGCAACCCAGACTATAGTCGTCATGTCACGCGACGCTGGCGACGCTGGCGACGTTGGCAACGTTGGGAAAGAAACGACGGAAATTTGTGGCATGGGCTCTTCTGTGCCATCGGTGAGAAAGGGGAAGCAAACATTGTATATCAAGGCGCATTTATCAATTCTGTCAGAAATCTCCTTATCAGAGCGCAAACTTCTGCCTCGCATTCACAGCCATCACACACTTTCCTACGTTCCAACGCGGCCCAACGCCTTGGACCGGCAGCTAAAACCTGTCACCCTCCTAGTCATGACCTTGCATTTTCTTATGGAGCGGGAGCCGAGAGACCCAAGGGGGGGCCACTGGCCAGCAACCAGCACAACCCCTGTCGCCGAGCAGTCCAGGGTTCGGCAGCTGGGAGCCTGGGACGCCATCGTGTGGGATCGACCCTGACGCCTGAGCCTGCCTGCTTACACGGCACTGAGTCAAGGTCTCTGCCATGATGCTGCCTTCCAGAATCCAGAAGCAATGATTCGCCCTAGCGCATCCTGGCAGACTATCGCAACGATCGTCATCGGATCTCCGGGATCCGGCTCCCGATCCAGACAATTACTGCAGAAGTGCAGCGAGGTAGTCGTCGAAAAGGGGGAAGAAGCAGCCAAGAGGAACAGCTCACCATTTGCTCGACTATGCACTGATGCAGTCTATGCTCAACTATTGGATTTGGGGAGATGGCAACTTGGCTTCACGTGGTGCCGAAGAACTGCAACCGAAACAAAATGGGAAAACCAACAGCAATCTCCCACGGCCCCCACCCCTCTTCTTCGTAAGCACCTTAAGCAGCAACATGTGTGCGAGACCCTGTGTGCTCTCGAGTCTTGACTTGGTCATCATCGTCGCCGTACTTTCCAAGAGGGGTCAGACCGATCCCGAGTCGAGCGAGCTTGAGAGAACCGAGAGAGAACGAAAGACAAGGGCGCATGCACGTTGCGGGCCACCACACAGGAAGCCCGGTCGAAACCAGCCCGAGGAATCTTGTGTAATTTGTGTTCCACCGGTCCCCTGTATCTGGGCCCGATGGATGTCTCGCCTGCACTAACACGTCTACTTGAACTGGTCCGGGGTCTAAAGTACGGCATGCCAAGGCGGAGCGATAAATGAACTCTGTGGAACGCGGAACGCAAAGCTTCGCAGTTACCTAACGAACGGGTGTGTCCTTTGCGAATCGCCCATTGTCTTCCCAGCCTCGTGACCTAGTACTGCGGTAGACCTAGTACGGGTACGAAAACCATCGACGTAGCCACCCTCCTCGACCGCATGTACCATAATTCACCACGTATCTACTATATCTCCTCCCCTTCTATCCGGGACCCTTGTCTTATTCTTCATGCACCATGTTTTGTTGGAAGAGAAACTCCAGTCAAAGTGCGAAGCTTGTTGGAGCCATCTCCGTGCTTGGTGCATCGCAAGTTCGCCAACATGACGCGTGTGGCCTCTTCTTGCGACCAGGGTTTGAGTAAATTTGCTTGACGAGGTTGACGCCAGAAATATCTGATAGCTAGCTACGGAGTAGTCCACATGAATAGTGGAAGAGGGGAAACCAAGTGGTGGATTCTTCCTAATAATGCTACTATCTCGCTGGAGCCCTGATCCAGGTTCTGGTCTTGTCCTAAGGATTTCGTTCCATGTCTCAATTCACCTCCCCGACTCCTACCATCCCACAAACTCTCACCGTAGCTCACCGCACGGACCTGAGTAGATCAATAGTATCGAAACACTAGACGAAAAAGACAGTGCCCAGCCCTTTACGGTATACATCATGGGAGATCCCATCGCCATTGTTGGGCTCAGCGCGAGGCTTCCGGGGGACGGCGATACGCCAGAGCGGTTCTACGAGTCGTTACTCGCCGGGAGGTCAGCCCGGACGGAAGTCCCGCGGGAGAGATACAATGCAGAGGCCTTTTGGCATCCCGATGCCGACAGGAGCGGCGCCGTGCGTGTTCCCGCCCGTTGTTATGCAAAGTTTATGCGACGAAAACTGACTTGCAGCGCTTTAATTTAGACACGGGTTCGCCATGGCCACTTTCTCAAGGGCAGCATATCGGCATTTGACGCGCCGTTTTTTTCTATCACACCCACAGAAGCACGGAGTATTGATCCTCAACAGCGAGGAATGTTGGAGAGTGTATACAAGGCCCTCGAAAATGGTACGAAGAGACGTTCTGATACTTTTCGATGCTACGAAACTTCAAGTTGGCCTCAATACTGACTTTTCACGAAGCCGGAATACCTCTCGATACCGTTGCCGGAACCCAGACCGGCGTATACGTCGGCTGCTTTACGGCCGATTACAATGATCATATAGCGAAAGACTTGGATATCCCGAATAAATACTCAGCCCTGGGCACAGTAGCAAGTATGCTCAGCAACAGAGTCTCGTGGTTCTTCGACTTTCGGGGCCCGAGTGTAACAGTAGACACGGCCTGCTCAAGTAGTCTGGTGGCTGTGCACGAAGCATGCATGAGTCTCAAGCTTCGTGAGGTCAACATGGTGAGGCTCTTTTTCTCATACATGCAATCTTACCAAAGTCCCTTTCATCTCAAGGGGCGGTGACACTGAAGCCAACCAAACCATGCCCCTCTTCCTCTCCCCCGCCGTCTGCAAGCCGGGCTCTTGGCTAACCACCCCGTCATCATGTACTAGGCCGTCGTGGGCGGGTGCAACCTTATCCTGACTCCCGAGATGACACTAAAGCTAGACGCGGCGGGCGTTCTGGGTCCGGACGGCAAGTCATACAGCTTTGACCACCGGGCCAACGGGTACTCCCGCGGCGAAGGGTTCGGGGCCCTGGTCTTAAAGCGGGTATCGGATGCCATTCGGGACGGGGACGTCATCCGCGCCGTCATCCGGAACTCTTCCACGAACCAGGACGGCCGATCGCCCGGCATCACGCAGCCGACGAAAAGGGGCCAGGTCGCGCTCATCAAGCACGTCTACGAGCGGGCCAACTTGGACCCTTCGCTCACGCGGTTCGCCGAGGCCCATGGCACGGGTACACCCGTGGGCGATCCCATTGAGGCGAGTGCCCTTGCTGAGATCTTTGCGCCTCATCGCTCTGCGGATGAGCCACTATACGTGGGTGCGTTGAAGAGCAATGTTGGACACTTGGAGGGCGCGGCGGGAGTCGCGGCCGTGATCAAGGGTGTCTTGACGCTAGAGAGCGGCGTTATTCCCGGGAACATTTGGTTCGAGAAGCGCAACCCAAAGATTCTGGACGCGTGGAATTTGAGGTTTCCCACAAAACCAACAGCTTGGCCGCAGCGTGGCCTGCGTCGCATGTCCGTGAACTCGTTTGGTGTCGGTGGCAGCAATGCCCACGTGGTGATGGATGATGCGCTCCATTTCCTCAAGAGCTTCCGCCTGGTTGGGCACCATCGTACGGAGACGATCCCTAAGATCCCAAGACAACTAGACGCACCTTTAGTGAATGGGACGGGTAAGGTTCTCTTCTTATTCCGCCAGGCTCAATGGGCACACACTGACGTTTCTTTCACAACTACCCAGGCCGCGTCAATGGATTCCACCGCCCATCGGATAGCGGGATCCATCTAGACGATTTTGAAAATGAAGACGCCCCACGTCTCTTTGTCTTGTCGGCAAGCGACCAGGATGCCGTTTCTCGGTTACGAGACGGATACAGGGACTATCTTGCAACGAAAGCGGCCCAGATCGTCGGAGAATCCGCCCAGCTACGGTTTTTGAGGGACCTTAGCTACACACTGGCCTGCAGGCGGACCCGTCATTCCTGGAGGACGTTTAGCATCGCTAGCTCGCCGACACAGTTAGAAAAGTCTCTCGAGGGAAACGCGGCTACTCCCATACGAGCAAAGACCAATCCGCGGCTCGCGTTTGTCTTTACTGGCCAAGGAGCGCAATGGGCGACGATGGGCATGGACCTGCTGGCGTACCGGGCCTTTCAAGAGAGTCTTCTGGCGGCTGATCGGTATCTCAATGATCTCGGCTGTAATTGGTCGTTGACGTGTAAGTGTTCCAACTAGTGTCTTGGACCAGTGTTATGTGACAATTCGCTGATAATTGTCGAAAAACTAGTCGAATTATCAAAGTCAAAGACTTCCTCTCGAATCAACGACCCCGAATTTTGCCAACCCATATGCACTGCTCTACAGGTTGCCATGGTTGACCTCCTCTCCACTTGGGACGTCTACCCACATGCCATCACTGGACACTCATCCGGTGAAGTAGCCGCAGCCTACGCCGCTGGCGCAATCTCACGACAAGCAGCCTGGAAAATCGCCTACTTTCGCGGAAAGCTGAGCGCTAAGCTCGCGCGCTCAGCTTCTCGGCCGAGTACCGGCATGGCTGCTGTCGGCCTGAGCAAAGCCGCCACGCAGGACGCCATCGATCGCGTGAACCAGCAACTTGGCGGCGAAGGTACCCTAGAAATCGCTTGCATGAACAGCGTGGACAGTCATACCGTCAGCGGTGATGCAGAAAAGATTGACGCGCTGGTTCAGCTACTCAGCGCCGAAAAAGTGTTTGCTCGGAAGCTTAACGTCGAGATTGCGTACCATTCGCAATACATGAGAGCCATGGCTGATGAGTATCTTGTGGCCATGGGAGAGCTTCAGCAGGGTACTTTGAGAAGCTCTGTGAGACCTCGGTTCTACTCTTCGACGATGGGAGTGCCTATACTGCCCTCCCAGCTTCGACGGCCGGAGTACTGGGTCAAGAACTTGGTGTCACCTGTCCGGTTTACGGAGTCGGTCACAGAGATGCTCAAGGGCTCTGAATTACCCAAGATCAACGGACATGTTGACGGACATATCAATGGCCTCGTCAACGGAAATGTCAACGGCCACATCAATGATGTTGTGAACGGTGGGTGTGATGAAGAACTCCCATTCGAACCAATCACCGACTTTTTGGAAATTGGCCCTCACAGCGCCCTCAAGGGACCGCTGTTCAGCACTGTCAAACAGGTTCGCGGCAATGCCAAGGTCGACTACCACTCCCTTCTTGTCCGACAAAAGCCGGGTATCGAGACTGCACTGGAATCTGTCGGAACTCTCTTTTGCCACGGATACAATGTCAACTTGGCGCAGGTCAACGACGCAGACGAGCCTCATGGGCCAAAGCCACTCATGCTTACCAACCTCCCCTCTTACCCCTTTGACCACTCGAAAGAGTACTGGGTACAGAGCACGTTGAGCAACGACTTCCGTAAGAGACCTGTGGGCCGGCACGAGCTGCTTGGAGCTCCCATGGCGGGTTTCAATGAGAATAACGCGGTGTGGCGCAATTACATCCGACTTTCAGAGAATCCTTGGATCGAAGATCACAAGGTCTCTGGGGATGTCTTGTATCCTGCGGCTGGTATGCTCGTCATGGCTATCGAGGCGAGCCGGCAGATCGCCGATAAGAGCAAGGTTTTGAAGGGGTTCAGACTGAGAGATGTGTCATTCAAGCTGGCTCTTCGAGTCCCCGATGATGCCAGTGGTATCGAATCTCAATTTTACCTCCGTCAGCACCGGGAGAATAGCCACTCCGCTGTTTCGACATGGCGAGAGTTCCAGCTCTGGACCCTGCAAGATGGCGCATGGAGAGAGCACTGCCACGGTTTCGTGCAGACTGAGTACGAGTCAGATGATCGACTCGCACTCCGGGGATCTGAAGAGAGCATCCATGATGGTTGCGCGACGGAGGTTTCTGTCGATAAGTTGTATCGCAGCTTCGCGGATTCTGGGTTGAACTTTGGCCCAACCTTCCAGACTTTGAGCGACATCCGTCTCGGACGAGACCTGAACATGGTAGCAACGCTCCATTCTCCAGTGGACAAGATCGAGAAGTCAATGCCACACCAGTATGTCCAGCCGCATTTGGTGCATCCGGTTACCCTCGACGGCCTTGTGCATGCCAACCTCGTCGCTCTGGTCTCGAGCTCCAAGTACGCCGGGGCGACTAGAGTGCCTACGTACCTAGCTGATGGCTGGATCTCGGCGCAATCGAGCCTTCCCCATAACTCCTACAGTGTGTCTGCTGAGTCTCGGGTCAAAGGGCGCAGCGAGGTCGTCTCGGACGTGAGGGCTACACATCTGGAGCAAGGTGACGAGATGGTTCAAATGTCTGGCATTGTCTTCAAGACCATCTCGAGTGGTTCGACAAAGGAAAACTCTCAAGCGGTGGTTCATCCGGCTTTTAACGTATCCTGGAAGCCTGATCCGAGTTTTCTGACGAAGCAACAGGCTTCACAACTATTCCAGCTGCCGCTGACACATGAGGATGACCCATCTACCTGGATGCTCGACTGCGAGGCGCTATGCCTGGCTTACATGCGCCATTGCACAGAATCTCTTTCCCAAGAGTCCGTTGGCAAGATGACCTGGTACCATCAGCGATATGTCAAATGGTTTCAACACGTTGTCCGCCAGCACTCTGACGGTCCCGCAAGTGAGAGTATCGAGGAACTCGAAGCCAAGGTCTTGGCCGGCAACGCGTCGGAGGGAAAGCTCATCATCGCGGTCGGCCAGGCCCTCTCGGGTATCCTCACCGGCGATCGCGATCCCTTGGACGTCATCTTCAAGGATAAGCTGGCAGAGGACGTCTACAGCAACGGTCTTGGTTCCAAGAGGTGCTACGCTCAGCTCTGTAGCTACCTCGACATCATGGCGCACAAAATTCCCAACATGGAAATCCTCGAGATCGGCGCGGGCACAGGGGGCGCCACGCGTCCTGCTATGGCGACGTTGACACGAGACAGCGGCCGTCGGTATGGGCACTACGACTTCACCGACATCTCGCCGTCGTTCTTTGAACAAGCGAAGGAAAACTTTAAGGATGAGGTCGGACGCATGGGATTCCGCGTGCTCAATGTCGAGAATGATCCCCTCAGCCAAGGCTTCGAAGCTGGCAAGTACGACCTCATCATCGCGGCGAACGTCTTGCACGCTACGAAGAAGATTGACGACACGCTCGTCAACGCTAGAAAGTTGCTCAAGCCTGGCGGAAAGCTTCTTCTCTTTGAGATCACCAACACTGAGATCCTGCTGGGAAGCTTCTGCTTCGGTACGCTTCATGGGTGGTGGCTTTCCGAGGACAAGGACCGCATCTGGGGCCCGTTGATGTCACCCAACTCATGGGATACTCATCTTCGAACTTCGGGTTTCAGTGGACTTGATGCTGTCTTTGACGATTTCGCTTCATCGCCGCATCAGATGAGCTCGATCCTGGTGTCTAGTAACCCTCAATCGGAGACAGTAGCATGCTCGCCTTCATCGTACTACATTCTGACCAGCGAGTCGCCCACTCAGAACGTGCTGGCAGCAAAGGTCGTGCAGTCTATCGGTCGAGGTGATTGCGAAATCGAAACTCTCACGTCCTTGGCTGATAAGAGTCTGGCTAACGCAACGTGTGTGGTACTCTCTGAGCTGGATCATCCAGCTTTGAAGGACATGAACGAGGGGACCTTCAACGGCTTCAAGCGCGTACTCACCAAGTGCAAAAACATTCTTTGGGCGACTCGTGGCGGTACATCCACTGCGCCCGACCCGGATTCCGAGCTGGTGACCGGTCTGGCTAGAGTGGTTCGCTCTGAGAGACCAGACGTCAACTTCCTCACTCTCTCTTTCGAATATGACGCCAACGAGGAACTCATTGCCGCCAAGTGCGCTCAAGTTCTTGGTGCAGCACGAAATAGCGTCGAGAACTCATTCAGGGTGATTGACGATGTGGTTCACGTGTCTCGCCTCGTTCAGGCAGATTACATGACCGGCCACATTCAAAACCAAACTGGTGTGGTGAGCGTCGAGAACAAGCTTCTGAAAGATGAAGCCTCTCGGTCACTGTGCCTTCAAGTCGGAGACGTCGGCCAACTTGACTCACTTCGCTTCGAGGAAGACACCCTGGCTGAGGCATCACTGGGAGATCACGATGTCGAGTGCAAGACTATGGCTTGTGGAGTGAGCATCAGTGACGTCTCTTCAGTCCTCGGGAAGGCTGAAGAGTCACCCCTGGGTCTAGAGGCTTCTGGCATAGTCACAAAGTCTGGGCCCGCGTCTAGGTTCCAAGTTGGGGACAGGGTCTTTGGACTCGCGGTATCGGGCACCATGAAGACTCATGTTCGATCTACGGACGGCTTGCTCGCGAAGTTGCCAGATGGAGTGTCTTTCACTGATGGCGCGGTCCTGTCCGTTGACTACACGACGGCCTACGCTGTCCTCTGCGAGGTCGGCTCCATTCGTGAGGGCGACTCTGTCATGGTGCACGGCGGATGTTCCAGCATCGGAAAGGCATTCGTGCAGGTCGCCCAGCTTCAAGGAGCTGAGGTGTACACAACTGTGACGAATCAGTCAGAGCGAGATGAACTGGTCAAGGATTACGGTATCCCAGAAGACCACGTCTTCAGCAGTCGTGACTTATCAATGCGATCGGCCAAGCAGAAGCTGGTTAAGGGGCGTGGCATCAATATTCTCGTCACGGCGACCGATGAGCTCGACGAAGGCGTAATCGACTGCATTGCACCATTCGGGCGCATCGTATACATCGGCTCGGGCGCCGCTATCTCCAACACACGTGTCCCGCGAGGCCGCAACATCCGTCTCGAGTCCTTCGATCTTGTATCTTGCCTCGCATTCGATGTCATTCGCACCGAGACCATGTTCCAGCACATGGTCGACACCGTTTTTGCCAACTGGAAGAATATCAGCCGCCCCTCGCCTACCGCGATCTATAGCTTCTCCCAGGTCGGCGACGCGTTCCGCAGGATGCAGTCTGAAGATCAAGATAACGCCAAGATTGTGCTTGAGCCTCGCGACGACGACATGATACCCGTCGTGCCGAGCCGGAAGTCTCTCAGCAACTTTGATCCTGAGGCGTCGTACGTGATTGCTGGTGGTCTCGGCGGACTTGGGAGGCCCGTCGCGCGATGGATGGCCTCTCGGGGGGCAAAGAACCTTATCCTCCTTTCGAGACGTGGTCCAGTGGAGAACGCTGCGGTTGAGCTGATTGCTGAGCTTACGGTTATGTGCGATAATGTGGTCACTCCGGCCTGTGATGTGACGGATGCCGGTGCCCTGCAAACGGTGATAGACGAGCTTGCTGCGACTCTTCCTCCTATCAAGGGATGCATCCAAGGCTCCATGGTGCTTCAAGTAAGTTGCATGAATTGTGCTCTGCTTTGGTTGAAGAAGGATCCATACTAATCTGCATTAAGGACAATCTGCTCGAGAACATGTCGCTCGACAATTGGAAGGCAGCCGTGCAGCCTAAGGTGCACGCATCCTGGAACCTGTACAACGCCCTCGGCGACAAGATGGACTTCTTCGTCTTCCTCTCATCCACCGTGGGAGTGACAGGAAGCCCCGAGCAAGCCAACTACGCAGCAGGAGGAACATTCCAAGACGCCTTTGCGCACCATCTCGTCTCCAAGGGCGTCAATGCCGTCTCGATAGACCTCCCAATTATCCGTGGCGTGGGTTACGTGGCAGAGAAGCCAGAGCTCTGGGACTACCTCTCATCTGCAGGATGGACTCACATCACGGCGGACGAGCTCTATGCCGTGCTGGATTATCATTGCCGACCGGCCAGCGCTAGCAGTTCCCAGGAACCGACGAGAGCGCAAGTTATCCCTCGCCTCTGGCTGCCGCAGGAGACGGCTGCGGAGGGATACCAGACGCAGACGTGGGGAGAGGATCCCCTGTTTAGCCACCTGCGACTGATAGAGACGGACGATGCAGATAAAGGAGACGACGCGAACAAGGGCATTAATCACAAAGCGCACCTACAATGCGCGTCTTCACTGGAAGAAGCTGAAAAGATTGTGCTGAACGTTCTCCTTCTCAAGATTGCGCGGATGCTCAGCATCGACGCGCTCAACCTCGAGACATCCAAACCGCTTCACGCGTACGGTATTGACTCCCTGACGGCGGTTGAGCTCCGGTCATGGCTGATGAAGGAGCTTGGGGCCGAGGTCTCTGTTTTTGACATTACGAATAATTCGAGCATCGCGCAGCTGGCGGTGCTCGCTGCGAAGAAGAGCAGTCTCAGGCAGCAATTTGCTGATTAGTAACCGATACCGAGCTGCAGTGGTGGCTTCAGCTGTTCGTGAATTTGGCGCCAGTTCTGTGTTTTCTCAAGGCGTTTTCTTAGGCGCGGTTGGCTTTTTGCTGGAGTTTGGATACTAGGGGGTCTTCCCCTGTGCTCTTCTTTTCTGGTTGTTATCTTCTCATTTTTCGATTCCCTTCTTTTGTCCTGCGTCCTTTCCTGGCTGTTATGATTGATGAGACATGATTAAGTTTGCATGGTAATTAATGTCACGACCACTGGGGAGTATCCGTACGATTGTTGTTCTAGTTGGCATCTCGATTAGCATCTCGAATAGGCTAAATAACTCAATTGACTTTGACATTTGCTCGGTTTCCAGGGGCTAGGCGCTTAGCAAAAAATGTGTAAAAAGTGCATGTGTGTGTTGGTACCGACCAGAAGTGCAGCCAGCCACCACCTTGGACAGCAGATTGGTGCTGAAAACCTGAAAAGTGCATCGACAAGCTGACGGCAAGCCCGGTGGCAGACTCGCCGAACATTCCGGGTCAGCCGGTAGATGCGTTGCGGTGTTTTCCGATCTCAAGGCCCGGGTTTTCGTCCATGAACGTGGCCCCGAGCTGGCTGGAATTGGCTGGCCACAGGCGCGCAAAGGAAACGGAAACTTCTTAAGAACTGAACGGAGTCTCGGTGAATTGGTCTGTGAGGACGGGGGACGGACCGCCGATATGCCCGATCTGCGGTATGGGTTTACCTACAATAGCCCAGCTGGACTGCCGAGGTTTGTCGCCCGAGCACTCCGTTAAGGCTTGGAGCCCGAGCAACAATCCGGTTGTTGCGTCTTCGGAAGACTCTGGAAGTGTGGAAGAGGTCATTTGAGTCTCGAGTTACCACGGTTGCCAAGGCATACGACAGGCTTTGTGAGAGAATGACGGAGACAAAGATGTTGAGTGAATGGAGACCCTAGATCGGAGGGATAATGGCAATTCCCTTGGACCCCAGAAAGAACATTGAACGGAACCGGGATCTCTGAAACTCGAATGGCATTTGTTCCATTCTGCCTCGCCCCCAATGGACCATGAACGCGCGTAACAGGCCACCAGGCCAGCCACTATACGCGCGACTACAGTACCACCAAGGGGCCCAAACAGGCAGCCAGACGTGCACAGAGCTGCCAGATAACAGAGAGAAAATGTGACAGAAAGGCGAGACCGAGAGGGCCACCACGGCACAAGAAAACAGAGTTCCACAGAAAAAGGGCGAGCCAAGGAGACTAACTGCAAACGGCGTAAACCTAAAGTCCCATTCGTAAATCTGCATGGTAACCTCATTTCCATTCGACGCTAATCTGCAAAAGAACAGCCCCTCTATGACGTTTTGGGGATAAACAACGCCGATGAAAGCAGCGGGCAATGAGGGATTCTGCCGTTCTGGTGGCACTGAGTGGGTGGGAAGTCTCGGAGAGCGGGAATGACACACGTGATTGTTCCCCGAGTCAGCGGCACTGCGGCAAGAGATGGAATTTGCTAGTTCATCTCAAGCCTTCAGAGCTCATACAAACTCATATATGCTTACATGGGCTCGTTTCTCATCTCATCAGACGTCGCATTAGAAGGCCTGGACTGATCAAATCATCGACTCCATTGAGTACTGGATCCATCCATCACATAACCAGCCCAGCTCACTGGGGTCTGGTCTGGGGAGGCTCCATTGAGTTGAAGTCTTTTTTTTTCTTCTTTCTCCAACATGGCAGCACTCACACGCGTAAAGTCAAAGGGACTGGGCCACATTGCGTTGGGGGACGGCGGTCGCTCAGAGACGGCCACATCCGGTAACGTCGGCAACGATGGACGCGTACGAGTGAGATTTCACGAGAATCCGCAAAAGCTTGCCCGCTGGCTTCGCGACTTTGAAGGGGCATTCAGACCGCACTCTGGCGACTACGATGAAGAATTCGAACAGGCCCGGCTACGGCGACGCAGCAGCGTTATCCTGCAGAATTTGCAGCAGCACCCGCCGTCAAAGAGCCCGCGGCTCAACATCGCGATACACATTGTCGGATCCCGCGGCGATGTCCAGCCTTTCATCCCCATTGCGCAGCTTCTCATGAAAGAGCCCTACGGTCATCGAGTTCGCATCTGCACGCACCCCGTTTTCAAGGACTTTGTAGAGTCCAATGGCGTCGAGTTCTTCAGCATCGGTGGCGACCCGGAGGCGCTCATGGCTTACATGGTCAAGAACCCCGGATTGCTTCCCAGTCGGGAGAGTGTCAAGGCTGGAGACATCAAGCAGCGTAGGAAAGAGATGGCTGAGATTATCAACGGCGCATGGAGGAGTTGTATAGAGGCGGGAGACGGCATGGGCGAACGAACGACGGCTGCTACGGTGTTGAATGCTGATGATCTTTTTGTCGCTGATGCGATCATCGCCAACCCCCCGTCGATGGCTCACATTCACTGCGCCGAGAAGCTCGGTATCCCGCTTCACATGGTATTCACGATGCCATGGTGCCCGACACAAGCCTTTCATCACCCGCTGGCCTCAATGAGTTATGGTGAGGCCGACACGAGCGCCGCTAACTATTTATCGTTTATCATGATGGAGCTCTTGACGTGGCAAGGGTCAGTCACTCATTCTCACCCTGTTTGTGAAGCCTTTCACTCATTACTGACATATAACTAGGCTTGGCGACTTGATCAATAAGTTCCGCACTCAAACGCTAGGCCTCGATCATATAAGTCCCTTGTGGGGATGCCAACTTCTCCCCAGATTACGAGTTCCATATACCTTCCTCTGGTCCGAGTCTCTCATCCCCAAGCCCGCCGACTGGGACTCCCACATCAACATCACCAGCTTCTCATTCCTCCCCCTCGCCGACAAGTACACGCCCCCCGCAGACCTCACCGCCTTCCTCGAGGCCGGCCCGCCGCCAATCTACATTGGCTTCGGCTCCATTGTCGTCGACGACCCCAAAGCCCTCACCCAGCTCATCTTCAAAGCCGTCGGACAGGCCGGCATCCGCGCCATCGTCTCTAAGGGATGGGGCGGCGTCGGAGGCGGCGACGATGTCCCGGATAACATCTATCTCATCGGCAACTGCCCGCACGACTGGCTCTTCAAGCGCGTCTCAGCTGTAGTGCACCATGGCGGCGCCGGCACATCCGCGGCAGGGATTGCATGCGGACGCCCTACTGTCGTGGTCCCCTTCTTTGGAGACCAGCCTTTCTGGGGCCAGATGATCGCCCGTGCCGGCGCTGGCCCGGCTCCCGTGCCCTTCAAGGAGATGACGGCCGAGACACTGGCTGCGAGCATCACTTTTGCGCTCAAGCCCGAGGTCCAAGTGGCGGTGCAGCAAATGGCGGAGCGCATCGCGGAAGAGGACGGCGCGGGGGACACGGCGAGGGATATTCAGGAACGACTGGCCCTCGACACGATGCGATGCGACATTTGCCCAGAGAGGCTAGCCAACTGGCGACACAGGAAGACAGGCGCGCACCTCAGTAACTTTGCAGTCGGGTGCCTCGTCGATAAGGGGTACATGAAGCCCCACGATTTCAAGCTGCTGAAGCACAAGCACTGGTACGTCGACGAGGGCGCTGAACACCCTCTCATCGGCCTCGTAGCCGCGGTATCGGGCTTCTTTACGAATATCGGCGTGGCGACATCGGATTACTCGCATCGGCTAAAACATCCGCCCCAAGCTGCCCAAAACCGGATGCACGCGGTCGACCTCGAAGCCCAGCGCCCTACTCACGAAAAGCAGCCCGAAGAGGAGAGCAACACGACGCGCGAACCGTCGGCTGAACCAAGTGAGGGACCAGATGTACAGCCGGGGCCGGAGGGCAAGGCGGAGGACGGGGAAGACGGCCACCTGAAGCGCGTGGCAAAGGCGCACAGCATGACGCCGAAGCAGATGAATGCCATCGCTATGAAGATGGCGACCAAATCCCTCCAATGCGCCGACCCGGCCGTCGAAATCGCCATGATGGACGCCAACGACGTCGACGAGCGCGGTAGACGCAAGTCCTCCGTGGCGACCCTCGTCAAGAAGCGGAATAGGCCGACGGAGGTTGCGCGTGCGACGGGGCGATACGGTATTGAGCTCGTCAAGGCAGGTCTCAAGGCGCCCGTAGCAGTGTGCTACAACGTCGCCAACGGGTTCCACAACTACCCTTCGTATGGATTCATCGGGCACGAGGTGCGGCGGCGGGACCAGATCACCGGTCTCGGGAGCGGTCTGCGTACGTCGGGCAAGGAGTTCGTTTTAGGAACGTGGGAGGCGTTTAGCGGTGTTGTCGTGAAGCCGTACGAAGGAGCTAAGAGGGAGGGTGTCAAGGGATTCGGGAAGGGCATTTATCAAGCTGGTCGCGGATTTACGTTTAATCTCTTTGCTGGTAAGTCTTTTGTGTGTTTATTTGGATCCCATTTTTACCCGATCGCTGGAAAGAGGCATCGTCACTCTGACCTGAAGAAATGGATGCTAACAGCCGCGCAGCTATTTTTGGTCTCCCTGGATACACATTAAAGGGCATAGAAAAGGAATTCTCAAAACACAGGCTTACGGCGCTCAAAGCCGAGGTACTGCTTATTCGGTTACGACAGGGCATCGATGATTTCAGGAGGTCAACGGAAGCGGAGAGGAACGAGGTAATAGAGCGGTGGAAGACGTTCTTGTCAGGTCAACAATGAACCTGGCCGCACACATGTATACCCAAGATTTCCTTTGTTGTACAACTCTACAGACTAGCAGCGATTTCTCCCTGTCATTGTAATATAGTAGCTAACGATCAGGCATCATATTTGATGTCAACACTTACCATTCTTCACGCTCTACTGCCTGCAGTAAGCTACGATGCCTTCGAATGCTGTCGCGAAAATAGAGACTCAAAACACTCCGGTGTCGCGCTTCCACGAGACCCGGCTCCTTGTGTACATGTAGTTTTCGCTTCTCATTGACGAAGTTATGTCATATTATCAACACCTTAAGTCCTTCATGAGGAATTGAGAACCCGAGTCCACTAGAAGATCAGATGCAATGAGGATCTGTCCAAGCTACCTGATCTTAGCTCGGACACGGCGGAAAACTAACGTGAGGGGCTGGCAAAACACCGGCGATTCTTCAAGCCTCAATGTTTCTGTTTTGGACTTTGGAGGCTTTACTTCGGAGTAGAGGGGTAATCTGATTGGTGATTCTCTCAAGTGTGCGTAAACGCCCCTCTTCTGTCCAGGATCAAGCTCCAGAAAAGCGGCCATCCACACCTCATCACCAGACAAACCTCAGACAACTTGTCGGTCTCTTCTTGTCCGTTCGTCACATCATCGCACCGATGGCTTCACCTCAAGTGGTTGAAATATGTGGCCGTGGCACTGATAGTCGATCTCAAAACATCACTTAGGATAACTTCTCGAGACTCTTCTCTCTATAGCCAAGCAACCTAGCCCAGTCCTAGCCTCCAAATACATCTACAGCTGTATGACCGGAGTCTGAGACGCAGACACACTGCCATGGCAGGACTTCGCGTGGTTGACGTACGCGTCGATCATTATCGACAGCCATATACACTCGGTATTCACGTGAAACGTCCTCAGATCTCCTGGCGCTTCAGCGATGCGCCCTCAAGATTCAACCTTGGTGGCTGGGAAGTCAAGATCCAGAAGCCCGATGGCTCTCACTCGGTCATAAGTGCCCCATCCAACAGCCCCGGGATCAGCTCACCGTCAGCCGAATGGCCCGAAAACATCGTTATACAGTCACGACAAACATACTCGATAGAGGTCAGAGCTCAGGACGAAAACAGAAGTGATTTCTCGTCATGGAGCGAACCCTTCTCCTTTGAAACTGGTCTTTTAGTTCGCAGCGACTGGACTGGCAATCTGATCTCGGCGCCGTGGGCGGAAGATGGCAAGAGCGGCCCGCAACCAGAGGATCTATTCCGAAGGGTCTTTGAAGCGAAAAGCAAAGTACGCTCTGCACGGCTTTACGCTACGGCACAGGGTGTCTACGAAGCTGAGATCAACGGTCGGAGGGTGGGCGATTATTTCCTGGCCCCTGGTTGGACGGCGTACGACGGGAGACTGCAGTACCAGACTTACGATGTCACGGAACACATTGCGCCGAGTGCGTCGAATTGCATTGGTATGCGCTTAGCTGAAGGCTGGTTCAATGGTCGTATTGGTTTCGAGGGCGGTAAACGAAGTATCTGGGGCACCCGCACTGCTGCTCTTGCACAGCTTGAGATCACCTACGAGGATGGTTCCATTGATACCGTAGTCACTGATGACAGCTGGACGACTACTCGAGGGCCCATCAAGCTCGCAGAGATTTACGACGGCGAAAAGTACGATGCTACCGCGGAAATACCGGGATGGGCAAGCAGTGATTCGCCTACTGGGGCATGGGAAACCGTCCAGGTGCTTCCTCAGCTCCTCGACACGACGGATCTCATCTGCGGCTACGGAGAGCCTGTCAAGAGACTCGAATACGTGAAGCCTTTGGAGTTGATCACGACCCCTTCAGGCAAGTCAATCTTGGACTTTGGCCAAAACCTCGTCGGGTTCATACGCATCAACAATGTCAAAGGTCAACGAGGCAACAAGATCACCCTCCTTCATGCGGAAGTCCTTGAGAAAGAGGAACTGGGAACTAGGCCTCTGCGAGACTGCAAAGCCGAGGATGTCTACACCCTCAAAGGTGGCGATAGCGGCGAAACATGGGAACCACGCTTCAGCTTCCACGGCTTCCGTTACGTCCAAGTCGATGGCTGGCCTTCCACTGCCCTAGACCTCAAAGAAGCGATCGAGGCATGCGTGTGTCACACGGACATGGAAGAAGTCGGCAACTTTTCGTGCTCCGATGACGACTTGAACAAGCTCTACAGCAACGTCCGGTGGTCGATGCGCGGCAACTTCCTATCTGTGCCGACTGATTGCCCCCAAAGAGACGAGCGCCTGGGATGGACGGGAGATTTAGCTTTGTTTGCGCCCACTGCCACCTTCATCTACAACTGCTTCGGGATTCTGAAAAACTGGCTGGCCGATGTCGCCCACGATCAAAAGGTCCTGGACGGCGTCCCTCCGATGGTTTCCCCGAACGTGCTCATCGGGCAGAAGAATTGGAGCAAGATTGGTGCTAATGCGATCTGGCATGATGTCGTGACACTTGCCCCATGGGCACTTTACGAAGAGTCTGCTGATCTTGGTATATTGAGAGACCAATATCAGTCTATGAAGACTTGGATCGATGTAATTCCCCGGAACAAGACCGGCTCCACTCATCTCTGGGACTTTGGGCTTTTCCAGCTCGGTGTAAGTTGGAGAGAATTCACTGGCATCGAATGTTTTCACTGACATTTTCAGGACTGGCTGGACCCCAATGCCCCTCCCGATGAGCCCATGAAGGCAGTCACTGATCCGCCCCTGGTCGCCAACGCATTTCTCGTCAGGTCCCTCGACCTCATCACCAAGATCGCCGCGCTCTTGTCTCAGGCCGAGGACGCGGAGCGCTATCAGAAAGAAGCCGCTGCTGCCCGTCGGGAGTTCCAGGACGAGTATGTCAGCAGTAACGGGCGTCTCACATCGGACTCGCAGACGGCATACGCCCTCGCAATTTGCTTCGACCTCATTTCGGAAAAACAGGCAGTCAGAGCAGGAAGTCGGCTTGCAGAGGTTGTCCGCCGCAATGGCTTCAGGATCGGCACCGGGTTCGCCGGGACACCGTACATCTGCGAAGCTCTCACCCGGACCGGACATAGCGACGTAGCCTACGCGATGCTCCTCAACCGCAAGTGTCCTTCGTGGCTGTACCCCGTCACCATGGGGGCGACTACGGTCTGGGAGCGCTGGGATAGTATGTTGCCCAACGGCACGATCAACCCTGGCGACATGACTTCTTTTAATCACTACGCCTTTGGAGCGGTTGCCAAGTTCCTTGTCGAAAGACTTGCGGGCTTGCAGCGCCTGGAGCCTGGGTGGAAGCGATCGAGGGCGGAGCCGATCTTGGGCGCAGAGTTTACGAATGCGTCTGCCGAGCATGTCACGCCATATGGAAAGGTTGCTTGCGCATGGAAGTTGGCGGATGAGGGAGGGGGTCGTCTGCGACTCAAGGTCGACGTGGTCGTGCCACCTCTCACTGAGATGGAAGTGGTTTTGCCGACCAAGGGTGGTAAGAGGGTGGAAATAGTTGGGTCTGGTGAATGGTCATTCGAGACTGAATATGAGCGCACGTACGAATGGCCGGTTAAAGAGCTGTCCCTCTTTCCACAGTAGAGTTATGGAACCGGAGACAGGAATTTGGTTGGAAACAGACCGTAGGGACTTTGGTAACTTAATTTGGACGACGTTACACTCCATGTGCCGAGTTCTGTCATCAGATGGAGGTGATGAGGGAGGATGACAAGGTGCACTTGAGTACATGTGTAGTATGAGTGATTGACATCGATGTTGTGGATTAACGTGCGTTATAAAGTCAAGTAATTCCTGACTTGCAAGCACTAGAACAGGTCCAGTCTTCCATCGCATGCGGCCGGCTTCCTAGCTATCTAGGCAGCATCCCAAGTTCTGCCTTTACCGTCGGATACTGCGTGGCGGAATTTGCAGTTTTCATGTTGATGCAACACAAGTGGATAACGATAAACTCAATGACAGCAGTGTCACCAGCCGACCTCGCTTACTCCTCGATACGCGTTTACCCAGCCGGTCTAGTAGGTGTTGACGGCCTTGATCTTAATGGAGTCCTTGGCAAGCTGCTCATAATCGGCCCCACGCTTCTCCTCATCCCGCTTGTAGGTTCCGGCCGACTTGATAATGATGTTGGCCTTCGCCGCGTCGGCGTAGCTGGGCTCCCGCTTCTCCTCATCTCTCTTGTAAGTTCCAGCAGACTTGATGATAATGTTGGCTTTCGCAGCATCAGCGTAGCTAGGCTCGCGCTTCTCCTCTTCGCCACGCTTGTAGGTGCTGACGGACTTGATGTAGATGGAGTCCTTGGCAAGGTCGGCGTAGTCGGCTTCGGGGGCACGCTTCTCTTCGTCTCTCTTGTAGGTACCAGCAGACTTGATGATGATGTTGGCCTTTGCAGCGTCGGCGTAGCTGGCTTCGCGCTTCTCTTCCTCTCCGCGCTTGTACGTGTTGACGGACTTGATGTAAATCGAGTCCTTGGCGAGGTCGGCGTAGTCAGCGGCTGGTGCGGCGACAGGAGCGGCAACGGCGCCGATAGCCTGAAGGGCGAGGACGGTGATGATGGACAGCTGCATTATGGAAGGGGACTTGGAATAGTTGCGATAGATTGGGAGATGGACGACTGGCAGAAACGTTCAAGAAAGTCCTCGATCAAGTTCAAGTACGTTATATACTACCCGGAAATCTAGTCCTACGATACAGTGGGAGAAATGTAACCCCCTCTGCAATGACGAATGGCTCCAACCCATTGCACCTTATCCGATCCTGCAACTCTTAATTCAAAGGTACCCTTCCTGCGCTTCCCATCAATACTCTGGCCAAACATGCGGGTTCGTAAATCCTAGAAGGGAAGGTAAACAGAGACGGAGGGTGATTGGTAAGTTATAACCTATCAAGGCCGTCTTCTCACGATTAGACATCTGCAACTAAAACGAATTGCCTTTGGGTTTGACGGTTGCCTGGGAGCTTCCGAATCTTCTCTTCGCAAATCTAGCCATTCAAAGAGAGAGAAACTCAAGTAAGGGGGCAGGCCTTGGGCCGGGGATCCGATCCCACGGTGGCGGGGTTGCGCCTCCAATTGTCACGCACTCACGGACTTCCACGATTAGGTGTGCCCGATTTCTAGATATGCAACCCATCCCGGTGTTCTAAGTGGACGGGCTTGGCCGCAAAGCTTATGTTGACGTGGTCCACAATATGATGACCTGGGATTTTTGAAGTGGCTCCTCTGCGTAAACTAGGCCTGAATAAGAAGCTCGAAAGTTGAAGGATCGCACTATGCAGAAGCAGGCTGGTGAGAGTGTCATCGGCCCATACAAAGCGTAATAGTGCAAGCCTATTGCCACCTAGACTGCCAATGGCTGCGCGGGAGGTGGGCAGGGTTCCGAATGCGGTGGTAAGTTGCGCTGGTGAGTACTGTTTTACGTTATGTCTAAACCCTTCTCGTTCTCGCCAACAACATCCACAGAGCATCATCTGTTTCCCAGACTTTGTTATCATTTGCAAAGATGTGGTGGAAATTGAGACCGCCGTATGAAAGTCTACCACAATCAGAGGGCGAGGCAGGAGGAACATCAACCTCGGCGCCTTGGTTCACACATCGTTGGCCTCGATCAACAGTTTGGCTTGGCTTGACCAACTTGACCACACTTGCTGTTCTAGTTTACAACCTATCTCCGATCCAGTCTCGGACCGTGTTCCTACAAAAGTGCACTGAAAGCCTATCGACGATTTGTGAGTACTCACCGATGAGTCCATTTCCCCCTCCCCTTCCTTCGAGCTCTGACTGATTGATCATCAATGAAGCGCCGGCATTTGAGGCAGTCAAATACAAAGCACCGGAGCATTACAATGCTGAGTTCAGGCAGACTAACAAGTGGCGCGGTCCACCCGGGACGCACTCGAATGATGTCGATATTGCATGGCACGAGATCGAACTTGGAGCTGGTGGCATCCGTGTCACTGCTGAGGAACTGAAATTGCTCAACATGACCGACTCGCCGGAAATGCCGTTCCACAAAGTGCCCGATGAGCATGGAGGCGGTTACTTGGCAATGCTTGAAGTCTTTCATCTGCTTCACTGCTTGGTAAGCCCATCGCCTATCTTCAATGAGCCATTATTCGGCGCTGATATTCAGTATTTTAGAACTCTTTGAGAATGGGGCTCTTCTACAATTATGAGCATTACAAATTCTTGGACGACGGGGTCCCTGACGAAAACATCTACAGCCACTTTGGTGAGTCTGATATTTCTCGAATACGCACGAGATCCGATTCTGACAGTACAGACCACTGCATCGACATGCTGAGAATGAACTTGCAATGCCAGGGAGATGTGACGCCGGCCTTGTTCGTGGATCCCCTGGACAATCCGAAACGACGAGACGCGTTACCAAACTGGTCTTCAATGCACACTTGCAGAGACTTCGATGCCATTCTCGACTGGAATAAGCATGGCCCAAGGTCGGTGCGGTGGCGTGATGCTGGGCCGAACCCATCTTGGGACCCCAATATTGAGGGAGCCGAGCCGCCTTTCCCGCCAGAAGGAGAGAAGGAAGAGCACCACCACTCATAGCCGTCTGTAATAACGGTATGGCACCATTGACCGAGACGATATCGGAAGCATGCGTTGGGTCTGATAGTGATTAGGCAATTTCTTCTAAAGGTGGCCCTGTAGCACAGTTGTAGGGATTGTCAATGCCCGTTGTATAGACGAGGTTGTGTCTGCTCCTGGGACCTCATCCATCGCAATGCTCCAGTCTTCTAGTCCACTCTTCGAAAGTATTCGGAATGTGTCGAGATTTGCGAGGCCAGCGAGGGCATCACTGTAGTGACGCCTAAATGACTCCAAATCATTCACTTCCACAACCAAATGCTGAAACAGGCTCTTATCGCTTCCCATCAGTTTCAGATTCCAGAAAGAGGCTTGGATCGTATCGAGATCGAAATCGACCCAGACATATCGCGGGTTCAGGCCGCCAGAGAAGGCTTTGGCATACAGACCGATGTTGCGCGATTCTCGACAAGTCTGCAAAATTGCGGGAACAGTGTTTGGTGAACGGCAGTAGATCAAGGTGGACTCGAGCGGTTGGCGGCGGTACTTTGAGGGTTCATCACAGGTGCGGACGATGAGAGTACGCGGCTCTTTCGCAAGGTGCCATATGTGAATGCGTAGTTCGAATGGGAGCTCGGAGAATATGTGGAAGGAAGCCATTACTGAAGTTCTGAGGATTTGAAGGTGATTCAAAAGCAGCTTCGGAAAGAGCTTCACTCAGGGCAAATAAGGTTGGCTCGGAACTGGGGATTGATAATTGCCTGCTCGTTCTCTGGTACTGCGACTGAGGGTGTCGGTCATCTGAGCTTCGCGGTTGTCAAGATGCGTTAATACGCAGAGACTATTGCAACCTAACATTTCAAGTTTTACTCTTGAGGGAATCGTGCATCACGTCATTCCTTGCCTTACTGGGCATCGTGCATGTGAGACATCTCAACAATCCCTATGAGGCTAGACATCATGTGATGAGCTTGCGAACGTCCAATCCCGAAAGACTAATTCATGTCGGAGAATTGATGACAACGTGCCTTACCTCTTGACCCAAGACAAGGAGGATCAAACTGGGTTCGACATAATGATGAGGGGCTCTCGATTGGGACATGGGCGCCATCCAAAGTTTGGAATATTTCGCGAAGCTGCTTATGTTCAGCGATAGAGCCAACTTTCAACTCTGCGATAGACTTGAGCCTACTATTTTTCAAATGCATGTGACGTCAGTTCTTGACGTCGCGCCAATACTCACTAGAACTGTAAGAGTTTCCATCGCATGGTAGCCCAGAGTCGTCGTTCATAGTTGCCAACGAGGTCAGCAACCTTTTAGACAACTTGGAAAAGAATGAGCTCAAACAGCACATTGTGCGCGAGCCTTCGATGTAGTCGCGACGAAGGAGAAGTTATTGCACGCAGTCACACAGTAAGTGATACATCGCACGTGGTGCGCGCATGTCGGCCGAATGATGCCACGGAGCAGCCCGAATGACAGGCGTGGACTCCCCCGCACTGTTGCATGCCAAGCTTCCCGTTGCCCGAGGTCGTCCAGATTCGCCATACGATCAGCGGAAGCAAGATCTCATCTCCGCAGTAATTGTGCCGCGCCCTGAGTTAAACCTTGACTATTCCAGGAGGTGCGCGAGACGTCACTATATAAAACCGAGAGTAATTGGTGGGATTGGCCTGGGGACATCGCGGCATTGGCGCCCTGCCTGGTGTCATCGCTTCTTTCGGCTCAGTCTCCGCCGAGACGCGACGATGCAACTTTGGCAATTTGTTAGAGGGGAAAGATAGATTAAAGACTCCATTTTCATGACTTTAAATCAAGCCGGTTAGCCCGGTTTTGAAGACAGTTCCAGTTTTTGCGATCACATTCGCGTCTTTGATGTTGTTCAGCATTGCCTAGCGATAGTTCCGGTCATTCCAGTAAAAACCTTGTAAAATGAGAGTTAGCCAAGCTCTGTCCGTCATCGTTACGGCGTTTACGACGATCTCCGCTGCTCCCTTCAGTGCAGATAGCGCACATCACACCCGCGATGCCAAGCCG